TTAGGGTTTTAGGGTTTAGGACCGGGTTCTTGCTAAAGACTTTATCTTTTTCGTTACCATAAATCGGAATCGATAGTAAATAACATCTAGTGTAGATCCCTATAAGGGTAGCTTAAAACTACAGTTGGTAGATACTATGGTTTCCTGATTATAGTAACTTAAAGTAAATCCCTTAACAAAAACCCAACCCAAACCCAAATGGCGTAAATGATGAGCGCTTTGAGGGTAAGAGCATTATGGTAGCTTAACTAAATCCCTAAACCCCTGAAACCCCTAAACCCCTAAACCCTAAACCCTAACCCCTAAACCCCTAGACCCTTAACCCCTAAACCCTATAAACCCTAAACCCTATAAACCCTATATAATCCCTATATAACCCCTAAACACTAAACCCTAAACCCTAAACCTCTAAACCCTAAGCCCTAAACCCCTAAACCCTAAACAATAAACCCTGAACCCTAAGCCCTAAACCCCTAAACCCCTTATAACAAAGAACCCTAAACCCCCTAAGCCCTAAAACCCTAAAACTCCAAAATACTCTATAAACCCTAATCCCTAAACCCCTTATATAACAAAGAACCCCGGTCCCTTCCGCCTTTGGATATAACCCCTAAACCCCAAACCCCTAAACCCTAAACCCAAAACCCCAGTCCCTTCCGCCTTTGGAGGAAGCTTGGGCGATAAGTCCTATAAAGCCTAAACCCTGAACTCTATAAGCCCCTAAACTCTATAAACCCCTTCTTGAGAAAAACCCCAGTCCCTTCCGCCTTTGGAGGAAGCTTGGGCGATAAATCCTATAAAGCCTAAACCCTACACTCTATAAACCCCTAATCCCTAAACCCCTTCTTAAGAAAAAAACCAGTCCCTTCCGCCTTTGGATATAACCCCCAAACCCAAAACCCTCCTTAAGCAAAAACCCCAGTCTCTTCCGCCTTTGGAGGAAGCCTGGGCGATAAACCCTATAAAGCCTAAACCCTAAACTCTATAAACCCCTAAACTCTATAAACCAACCCTAAACCATAAACCCCTTATAAGAAAAAAAACTCCAGTCCCTTCCGCCTTTGGAGGAAGCCTGGGTGGCTGAGGCGCTCTCCCTGGTCCACCCGGAGCTGGCGAGGAAGATGTGGGATAACAAGAGCAAACTTGGGGGGTTTAGGGTTTAGTGCCTTATAAATATGTATATATATATATGTATGTATAATATATATATATATATATAGAAAAATATGTATGGATAGATAGATAGGTAGATAGAGAGATAGATAGAGATATAGATGTAGATATAGATATAGATATTGATATTGATATTGATATATTTGGCTGTAGGGTTGAAGGGTGTCACTTTTTTCAAAAAGTTGTGAGGGTTTCTTTTTATAGGTCTGTTTAATTCCCCACCGTAAACTTGAAATCTTGAGGCTTTCAAGCCTAACCCTTAGACTGGACCCCTATGCGCAAGTTGGCGAGGATGATCACGACAGCCTATGGCCCTCAAGACGTGGTGGAGGAGGCGGCGCGGGCTCTGCAGAAGCTGCTCCCGGCCACTTGGGGCTTAGACACGGTTTAGGGTTTAGGGCC